TTATGGTCGATTTATCATTATTACGAGGATTCCTTGAACTGGATACAAACTAGGTAAATTCGTTCGATATCGTGTAAACCGTGATCATTCCAGCAGGGGCGTTAGATATACTTCTAACGTCGGAGAGAGACCTCCGGTCTATAAATCGATCACTGATTTCAGAGATATCGAATGCATATGGTGATGATCCATCCTCGACCATCATGACGGAGGCACGTGCCGCGAATTAATCTTTTCGGTGAAGAAACTGAGCTCAATAAAATCAATTACATCTTGCGTATTTGTTCGAGTGGTTGCAACCCCGTTTTTATATAGAGTCATGTTTATAACGTATTATTTAATTCTCGAGTAAAGTATACGCGATACTTGATTAAAGATGTAACTTGGTACATCTTGATATTGGTACTATTCTTATGTTTCATGGTATAAATACTTATTACGATCTAGACTATTTACATCAATAATATGATTATTTCTCAGCGTGTAACAGATTGAAAAAACCTGCGTTACAATAATACTCAATTTATGCGAAGCGTTACGGCTTACATTTTGTGTGCCACGATAAAGATTTGGTGTGTCAATGTTTAATGTAAAGTGCTATTCTTCTTGATTTGCTTGATGAATAATAAAGATTAATCATTATATGAATTTATGTACCTCTCTTTATTGTTAAGAATAAGCACTTGAGAACAAAACAAGCTATATTTCGCTATAGATCATTTATGATCAAAGGAACATTGACGCATTAACTCAATTACAATTATTTCTTGTACATATATTTCTTAATATTGATGAATGTTATGCATTATTTTGTGAATTGAATATAATCGATCCTTTCTTTGAGAAACAGATATGTAATGATATATTGACTACGTTAACAAGTCCAACATAAAATAACATATGATATTCAGTATTCTTAGATGAATATTAATTGATTAAAAACAAGAGATTTATTTCTTTCTTCAGAATATTAAAGAAAAGGACAATTCTATAAGAATTAGAAAAAGGATCACTCCATATGACTAATCATTTCTTTTTTTCTTGTATTTTATACAGCTTTAATTTCTGTATGACATTTCTTTGTATGAATATGCATATATTTTGATTGATAAACAGCTAAGCGTTGAATTGTAAATCGGTAACAAATATATAATCTCAGTACAGTTCACATTAATAGTTGTTTTATGTAGCTTCCTCATCTAAATCGCGAGATCAGGCTTCTGCGCGAGCTTGTACTTTAAACACATAACAAATTAAAGATATTTAATTAAATATCTTTGAGCTTAGTAAGAATAAGGGAACAGGACATTCAAGGGTAAATAATAAACAGTAAAATAGCAGAGGCAAGGTATAATACAAGGTACAAAGAAATAGAGGTGAGAAACGAAACACCCAGTTATTTATTAAAAGGAAATTTGGATAAAATAAATACAGGAGATGAGATTAGAGCGATGGTAAAATTAAGGTGCGGTAATTTAGAGGATACAAATAAATATTGGCTGGACGAAGAAGATACGAAGTGTAGATTCTGCAAGACAGGTAGGGACAACTTAGATCATTATATAAGCGAGTGCAATATCACAAGTATGTGGTTTAAAAATTTAGGTAGGAATAACAGAGAAAGATTAGAGAATATATGCGATGACAAATTTAGAATAGAAAAAGGAAAGGTGCTAAATAGATTATGGAAAAGGAGAAAGGAATGCTAAAAAAAAAAGATAACGGTTGTAAATAATAATGCAATACGGCTTGTATGTAAAGAAGAAAGATGAATGATGTGTGGAGATGAATGTGTGCTTAAGTAAGAAATGTAAACCAAGTCCTTTCTTTTGGCGTATAGCTGAAATAAAGACATATATATAATTAAATATCTTTGATATAATTATATAAAAATAAATTATGATAAAGATAAATTTGCAAAAAACAAGTATTTTTTTATAGACAAAAAAATGTTAGTTATTTGTTATAAAAGCATTTTCATCAATTCGCCTTATATCTAAAATATAAAAGACAATCACAGAAATATAATTTATTTTGTACAGTGTAAGCTTATAAATGATGGATAAACAAAAGTGAAAAAATTCTCAATTTGATTATTATTTAATAGCTACCCTGGCGGAAAAAATTTCTATAAATAACTACATTTATGTAGATTTTCATGAATTCACGAGTTGTAAAAGACTTAAGAATTTTATCGTTTTTTGTAGAACCTTGTAGTATTGTATGTAAAATTACAACCATTCACGAATCAGAAATTTATATAGGTAAAAAATTGTACATTTATGTATTTTTTTATTGGACTTTACAACAGACTAAACGAAAATAAAAACATAAGTATTTTGATTTCTGCGAATTAAAAAGTTATTAATATTGTCTAACCTCAGGATTAGGATAAGAAAAACTAGAAAGCGAAGGACAGGCTAACCCAGAGGGGTAGGGGTAAGGAAGGACGCAACCAGATACTTATAAATGTCGCTCGCAAGTACACGCTCTGATGGCGTTTTCAATTTGCGACTCGACCCGACTCGGGTCGCATCATGTATACAGGACTCTAGCATCATTGACGTGGAATACATACATATCTGTGTATGTATTCCATGTCCATTGATGCGACCCGAGTCGGGTCGAGTAGCAAATCGAAAACGCCATGAGATGAGGCGCGTGGCGCAATCCGAACGTACTTGCAATGGCTCAACGTCCGTAGGGACGCTAGGACGCCTTCCGTGAGCGGTGCGATTGTCAGTTCTCTTTTGAATCAGGGAATTTAATCCCTTTAACTCAGAATCGGACCTTGTCCGATTTCGAGAGGAGGATGAGTAGTGGGTGAGATCTTAAGTTATAAATAAATGAAGATGGAAATTTATATTTAACATAAATAAAACATTTATTAAAAATATAAATTAAATTAACTATCGATATTACAATGAGTGAAAACTAAGCAAATTAAACGTGGGATTAAAAACATTTAAGAAGTGTAGAATGTATGTGTAAAGTGTATGTTTGTGTGCATTCTTTGCGGGTGTTACAAAAGTGCGGGGGTGATCGGGCAGGATTTTTAAGGAAAAACCTATTTGGAAATGGACACTTGCTCGCTATTATTACAGTCAAAATCAGAATTGAATTAGGGGAGACCGGGGCGAAGTCGGCCCCGGGACGGAGTCGTTTGTGCAATTATCTCATCTGTATGTTGTGTGAACTCGCCATTAACGCAGCATTAACTGTAAACCCTGTAAACGCGGCTTATGGTGCCCACGTGACCAACGGAGTTTAGTAAGGTTACGTGCCATGTTGTGATTTTTATCGAAGCAAACGTGTTTTCGCAGATCAAAAGTAAAATTTCTTCCGCGTCGAAAGTTTGTAATATCTTAAGTATTATTGTCTCTCCGAATCTCAAAGTAAGTGATTCTAAAGAGTAATGCATGCTGAACACGAATCCAGTACAGTTTTTTTTATTTTCATTGATTTCTATTATTTTAAAGCAACCAAAACTAAAACTTGTGTTCGGGGCAAAGTCGTGACCAAGCCATTGGGGCGGACTTGTCCCGGGGTTTCACTCTATTTTCCGTTGCAAATGCGCCATTGTATTTCTCAAATGCAGAAAAATGGAACGCACGTACTATCGCAAAACGGCTGCCGTCTGTTAGGCAGTTGAGAACCCGCCTTAAGGAATACCATGCGAACCTACCGGCAGACACGACAAGGAGAGCCTGGCGGGACAGAGCAATAAACTGAGTCTTATAGTATACACGTGTGCATTATTTGAGTCCTCACAATTAATCATATTTATATTAGTTCAGATACTAATATTACATGGCGCAGTCGCAAGTAGCCAGAATATAAATCAGACAAAGTAAAGGTATAGAGGAGAGGACTGGCAACGTAGTAAAGGGCGGCAAGTAAGCTAACCTAAAAATAAAAACCGCGTACTGGCGGGAAAAGAAGACTCGGTTATATAAGGAAGCAAATAAAATGGGAGATGCAAGTGCAAGAGGCATTAGTCCTATGAGAATGTCGGGGAACGTTGCAGAAAACTGGCAGATGCGGCGCAGCAGATTCGAGAACTACCTGAAAGCTTCGGAGGTGTCGAAGAAGCCACAGGAAACGCAATGTGCCCAGCTTCTACACTACATAGGGAAGGAAGGTTTTAAAATATATAAAACCGTTACTCTATCAGAGAATGAAAGAGACAGACTACCCATATTACTCGACAAATTCGAAGCACACTTTCTACCTAAGGAAAATCTGTCGTATGAAAGATACGTATTCTTTACGATGAGACAGAAAGGCGGACAGTCACTGGGACAGTTCGTGGTAGAGCTCACAGAACAAGCCCAGAAATGCAAACTAGGGGATGTACAGAACAGCTTAATTAAATGCATGATCACCTGCGGAGTCAACAGCAACGAGATGAGGGAGAAGCTACTACAGGATGACTCACTGATGTTGGAACAGGCCATTCACCAATGCAAAGTGATGGAGAAGGCGAAAATTCAGAGCAAGAAGATGGAAGCCACCGGGGAAGCAACGGGAACAGTAGACTTAATTAAATCACAGAAAAAGTTAGGTCAGATACAGGCAGGGGGAGGTAAAAGTGTCTACAAAGCCAAAGAGAAAGTAATCGTTAAGTGCACGAAATGTGGCAAGAATCACAATTTAAATAATTGTCCGGCTTATGGAAAATTTTGCACAAAATGCAATTAAAAAAATCATTTTGCAATTGTATGTAAAAGTAACTATAAAAAGAAAGTAAATAAAATTCAGGATAAGGATGAGAAGAAAGTAGACACTCTTACATCCCAGGATAATGAAGAATATCTGTTCATAGGAGCGATTGAAAATAATAGCGAGAAACATGTCTGGTTAACAGAACTAGAAATAAACGAGAAAAGAATTAAATTCAAAGTAGATACAGGGGCAATGTGTAATGTAATGTCAGTAGAACACTTAAAGTCGTTAAGGTTAGGTAACATTAGAGTTAAACCAACTGATACAATGCTCAAGTCATACACGGGTAATAAGTTACAAGTCAGGGGTGTATGTACAATTAATGCTAAGAAAAATAACAGAATTTTTAAACTAGATTTTTATATTGTCAAAACTAATACTCCAGCGATCTTAGGATTATCGTCATGTTTAGAATTAAATATCATAAAGAAGTTGGAAAGTATAAATGATAGCAACACTTATGAGGATTTGGTGAAGGAGTATAAAGAGATTTTCTCGGGAATTGGCTGCTTCTCAAAGCCATATCATATAAAGTTAAAAGAAAACGCGCAGCCAGTAATTCATCCGACATGCAGAGTAGCTCTATCTCTATTACCTAAATTAAAAGAATGTTTAGATGAACTAGTAAAGCTGAAAATAATTGAAAAGGTGGAAGAGGCTACGGATTGGGTGAATCCTCTGGTCATTACACGCAAGCCTAATGGCAGTCTGAGAATCTGTCTGGATCCAAAGGACTTAAATAACAATATAAAACGCGAACAATTAATTAAAACGTTAGATGAAATTACAGCTAAATTAAACGGAGCTAAGGTTTTCAGCACGTTAGATGCGACGAGCGGATTTTATCAAATACGATTAGATGAAGAAAGCTCATATTTATGCACTTTCTCAACTCCTTTTGGTCGGTATAGATCTCTGAGAATGCCATATGGTTTGATATCAGCTCCGGAAGTATTTCAGGAGAAATTTAGGCAAACTTTTGAGAATTGTGAAGGTTGTGAACAATACATAGATGATGTTATTGTCTGGGGGAAAAACAAAGCGGAACACGATGAAAGACTAAGGAAAGTTTTAGAAACTGCCAAAAGGAACAAAGTCAAATTTAACTTAAGTAAATGTCAGTTTGGTAAAAGTAATGTCAAGTACATGGGGCATATTATTAGTGCTGAGGGTGTCGCGTTAGATGAAAGCAAAGTAACAGCTATTAAAGAACTGCAAACTCCTAAGTGTAAAAAAGATGTACAACGTGTGTTGGAAATGTTAACTTATGTGAGTAAATTTATAACTAATTTTTCATGTGAAACTGAACCCTTAAGAAATCTTTTAAAAAAAGATGTACTTTTTACGTGGGGACCGGAACAAGAAAAAGCACTAGAGTCTTTAAAAAATAAATTAATAAACAGACCAGTGTTACAATTTTTTGACGTTAATAAAGAAACAGTAGTCTCAGTTGACAGTTCCAAATCAGGAGTAGGGGCGGTCTTGTTACAAAATAACTTACCGTATGCGTATGCCTCGAAAGCATTAACTGATACACAGCAAAGATACGCTCAAATTGAAAAGGAGATGGCAGCAATATGTTTCGGATTAAGTAGGTTTCATGAATATATTTATGGGAAAAAAGTAGTAGTTGAAACAGATCATCAACCGCTAATTTCAATATTTAAGAAAACACTTAATAAATGCCCTCCTAGGTTGCAACGTATGCTATTACAAGTACACAATTATATTATATTAAAATACAAACCGGGAAAGCAGTTAATAATTGCAGATACGTTATCGCGGGCGTACATTAAAGATCAGACGGACGAATACTTTGACAATGAAATACAGGCACAAGTTTGTTTAGTAGTGTCAGAACTTAATGTTACAAAGGAAAAATTACAAGAAATTAAAGTAGAGACACAAAAGGACGAAGAATTAAATGACTTAAAAAAAGTTATCATAAATGGTTGGCCAAAAAATCATAAAAAATTAAAAGATTCTATAAAACCATATGCTAAATGTAAAGAAGAACTAACTATAAATGACGAACTGATCTTTAAGGGTTGCAGTCTAGTAATACCATATAGGTTGAGGAAGGAAATTTTGGACAAAATACATTACAATCATTTTGGAGTTAAAAAATGTTTGGCCCTCGCGAAACAGTCGGTTTACTGGCCGACAATGAACAATGAAATCATACAAAAGATAGAATCGTGCCATATATGTGTGAAATACTCAAATTCGCAAAGGTCTGAAAGTCTAAAGTCACATGAAATTAAAATGTTGCCGTGGAATAAAGTAGGATGTGATCTGTTTGAATTACAGGGGAAAAAGTATTTTCTTGTAATTGATTACTATTCTAAATTCATAGAAATAGAAGAAGTAACAGAAGATAGTAGTAGTTACAAAATAATTAAAATCCTAAAAGCAATGTTTGCAAGGCACGGCATACCACTAACAGTAATAAGTGATGGAGGACCACAGTTTTCGTCACATATATTCAAAGAATTTGCTAGAGATTGGGAGTTTACCCATATCCTTACCTCTCCCACATATGCACAATCTAATGGAATGGCTGAACGGAACGTACAGACAGCTAAGAACATGTTTAAAAAAATTCTGGAAGAAAGAAAAGATATTTATTTGGCACTTCTTTATTACAGAAACATGCCAATCTTTGAGAATTTCTCACCATCCCAAATCTTGATGAGCAGAAAGTTGCGAACAACAGTTCCAAGTATTAACGAGGAGTTAATACCCAAATTAGTAGATAGGGAAAAGATAGGAAAAGCAGTTAAGGATAACCAAAAAATACAACAGCATTATTATAATAAGAAAGGAACGAAGTCGTTGACAGAAATAAAAAATGGAAGTAGAGTAGCAATACAGCTAAAACCAAAAGGTAATTGGATACCGGGAATTGTAATACGGAAAGTTAGAGATAGAACATACCGTGTAAAAACAGATAATGGTTCTGAGTATATCAGAAATAGAGTATTTATAAAAGTAGCTAAGCATGCTGTAAATAGAAGAGTATCTAGGAACCATTATTTGTTTAACACTCCGGGTAAAGAGGAGGAAAAGGAAACAAGGAAATGTTTTATTGAAATAGAAAGCGACAGGGCAGAGAGAGTAGAGGGGGAGACCGAGTCAGAAACAGAAAATAGCATAGCATCAGAAAGTGAATTAGAGATAAGCAATCCGACTACCACTAGAAGCGGAAGATAAAACCACCGGATAGATTAAACTTATAAGTGTAAGAACATAATCTGAAAAAGGGGAATGTTAGGCAGTTGAGAACCCGCCTTAAGGAATACCATGCGAACTTACCGGCAGACACGACAGGGAGAGCCTGGCGGGACAGAGCAATAAACTGAGTCTTATAGTATACACGTGTGCATTATTTGAGTCCTCACAATTAATCACATTTATATTAGTTCAGATACTAATATTACACCGTCGACAAGAAGCAGATTAAGAAGGCAGTTCTTGCGGTAGAGAAAGATAATATTAAGATAAAAGTAACCGCAAAAAATTTGGCGTTCCGAGCTCTACGTTAGCCGACTGGCTGAGAAAGAATGATAATGATATAGCACATTTGGATGATGTGGCCGTACGACATCACGAAGGATCCACGGTGAATAACGTAAATAAATTTTTTGAGTTTAGCGCATGCACTCTGCTCAGCCAAGTTCATATTTATGCAACGTCTTAATTTTAAATTGCAGGTTATGAACTCTGAAAGTGAAGCTACTTTGATGGAATACCTAGTACGTTGCAACAACATGTACTTTGGGCTATCTGCGAAAGAAACCCTCGTGGTTTAGCCTTTGAATTTGCTAAAAAATTGAATCTGTATTAGATACCATGGTTCGAAGACCGGCTAACTGACTTTCTCAAATGACATCGAACATTATCCATATGCAAACACGACAAAATAATCGACCATTACCACTACGCCGAGAAAGAGAGGCTCAAAAAAATGCCACGCAATCAGAACCGCAGTCTTCACGAGCAGTGGGCGAAAAACGGAGTCAGAATCGCAGCCTTCGACGAGCAGTGGGCGAAAAACAAAGTCAAGAAAGCTAAATAATATGTGCTGCGTATGCTCGGAGATAATAGAAAACAGAGCCGATAAAAACAGTGCATTTTGTGCAGACGAATGCGTGCGCTCATCAGGCTCTGTTTTTACATGCTTTAACTGTTTCAGTGACACTGATAACGAAAAAGAAAATTGATTTTCTTGAAATTATTTTCCGCTTTCTTGAATAAAATGTATTCTATTATTTTTTATGATCAAAATTATGTATCTTTATTTAAAATCTAGTCCGAGAATGAAGACACGACTCCGCCCCGAGAATTTTGACTTTTTGATTTTTGCACCTTTGTTGTTTTTACTCTATACCGGTTGAACAAAGCGACGTAGACCAAAAATACCTATATAAATTTTGTAGCTAAGAGTTTACTCTTTACAATGGTATACTATATTTCACTAAAATGATTTATTTTGTTGTTAAAAATCGGCACCGAAAAAATAGGGCCGACTTCGCCCCGGTCTCCCCTACATAATTCTTTAACCAAGTGTGCGTGTGATTTATATGTGTATGTATCATACTAAATTAAATTAAAACATAAAATTTATACTAACGGAGTTATAGTAGAATACTAGGTTAATCTAAAGTGATCACCTCGGGATCAATTATCTCCTCGAGAGTGACGGTGGAACGGTGGAATATACTGTAGAAGAAGCTAACAGGGATTAGGTAGGGATATTCGTGGTTAGGGATAAAGACGGGAATAGAGTGGTGAGGATTGGCCCTGAGTATGAGCGAGCTGAGTTCGTCTATGTCGAACTCCCCAGGACCAATGGTAGGAGACTTCAGGAATCTGATCCGTATAGCAGGGAAAATAAGCGGGTATATTCGCGAAATAGTGTAGACGTTGAAGACTTTTCTCGAAAATCTCCACGCTCGATGTGGTGGACAGCGCTGGAGATGGTTCTCTGGAAAGTTCCTTGAAAGGAACAAGAGAATACGATTTCTCGGAACTTAAGACGGCGGAAGGTACAGGGGAGGGGGAGTCGGGTAATTCTCCGGAACGAACCGGAGAATAGGAGGGTTCAATCAGGGGGGAGGAATCAGGGGTGTCGGAAACCACACGATAGGAAAACGAGCGAGAAAGCGAGTTAGGAGAAAATTGCTCGATGCAATAAAGATCTCTATCAAACTTTATCTAGGATTAAGGCCCCTTTGGCGCGTCGTGTCGCCGGATTTATAATTATAGAGCAGACAAAGCTGACAAAAACCCGATCACGTATGCCCCGTCTGTCGGTAATTCGTCATCTGAAAGGTCGCTTTTAGTCGCCTAAGCAAATAGGTAGTTTGGTTATAAGAAAAAAGGAATGTGAGGAGATCAAAGCTCACTCGCCAATCGATAACTGTCCGTGCTCAGTTTACTTATCCTAATCTTAAGGGGATCCTATAGTGGCAGTAGTTACCGACATTTGCAGATTGGAAGAATTCTTTGAATTGGCTTTACAGAATTGCAAGTTTTTTGTCTAAAATTAAAGTACGCACAAAAATTTATTTCCCGATACACGATTTCATATCAGAAACAAAAAGAAATTAAAAATTTGGGCACATACATTGCAGCTGTTACCTGACGACATTATTTGCTTAAACAAAAATACTGCAGTTTACATATACAAAATGATACACAAGGGAAGTAGCGACAACATTTACGAACAATTTCGTGTAAGTAAAACTAAGATTGAATGCCTAAAAAAAAATAGTTTTCCTAAGGCAGTTTTATTAATGCAAAGATACATGCAGGTTGACAGAATGAGCAGTATTGTGGGTAACAATAGTTGCCGGATTTTGTAAGAGCTGCAGTCGCTGCAATCTGACAAGGACAGATATATCGTATAGGTATCTCGTTAGACCAGGACAGATATATCGCACAGATGTCTCGTTAGACAAGGACGCTCGAAGCACTCACGTACACGGCTCTTTCCATGTGTGCGCTACCTTCGCCACGTGCCTGAAAACAGGCAGCGTCTCAAAACTCGAAACTAAAACGACGAAGATCGGCGAGGCTTACCGGCCTACCATATCAGTTGAAAACATAAATAAATATATACGGTCATAAACGGAAATGTTTTACTGGAAAATTAATTCGTAACAAGTGTTATAAACACGATGGATGTTTCACTTTCTTCCAGATTAGTGATTTACATATACAGATACACAAAAAATACTTTTTACGCAACGAAAACTTGTCGCTCGTAAACAGATGGGATTTGCATTATTAGAGGGAAACATATTCAACAATAACTAGACACGTTTGCGAGAGAAAAAAAAGTTTTGTACTTTATATTATCACTGATTTTATTATGTAATATATTGTTAGGGATTTGTCTTGCATTATTCAAATCAAATTATATATACTTTTTTGATCTTTTATTATTAGGAAAAGCATATAAAACTATGTAATAGATTATCATTTCACTTCTTCTTATTCTTTATTGTTTATATCAGTTCTTATATAATACTACTTTGTTTCATTATAAGAGAATAAAGAATACATAAGAAATTTTTACATTCAGTTCTTTACAAGTAAAGTTAGTTACAAGAAGAAGATATGTAATAGACTAATCACTGATTTTTATTCTCTTGTATTTACGTGAATCTACATCGAAAATAAATCTATCCGTGTCGATCGTATAAGCTGAATCAGAGCGAGAAA